ATAAATTTTCTGCCCCCTTTTCTCTCTCTGTTTCTTTTGGGACTCTTATAATGTGGATACTATTACATTTGATGGAGTCACTGAATTACTTAAGTCTATTCTTATTTACATAGTTCTTATTTCTCTCCTTTGTTCAGCTTCATTGCTTTCCATTACTTTGTCCTCTAGGTCAATAATTCATTCCTCAGCTTCTTCCAGCCTGCTGTTCATTGCATCAAGTGTTTCTAATCTTGTGGATTGCACTCTTCATCTCTGATTGATTCTTTTTTAACTCATTTATCTCTGTGGTAAGAGATCTCTGTGGTCTCACTTATGTCTTCTATCATTTTCTCAAGTGCAGTGTGTATCCTTATGATTGTTGCTTTAAATTCTCCATCAGGCATGTTATTTATATCTGTTTTTGCTTGGATCTCTGGCTATGGCCTTATCTTGTTCTTTCATTTGGGATCAATTTTTCTGTCTTTGCCTTTGTCTAAGTCTCTGCCTTTTCCTGTGTGTTAGAAAAGCCACTTATGTCTCCTACTTGGCCTTATGAAGAAGAGGTCATGTAGTTCCCAAGGCCTGGCACTTCAGGGAGTGTCTCTAGTGTGTGCTGCATGCACTCTGTTGTTATATTCTGGCTGCTTTATCCTCTCTATCCTTCAGGCCAGTCATCTGCAGAGACTCTCCTTGCCTGCTGTGGGCAGTGTTTGGTTGCTGGCATGAATGTATTGAGTTTTAACTAGGTGTGTCCTTGCCTGCTTGTGAAATGAGGCCTGTCATCACCTCTACCAGAACTGAGACCCTGCAGAACTCTCTGGTCAGGAGATGTGGTGTGGACAGGGATTTGTTCTGATCTGGGGAGGGGCCCACGGACTCCGACTGAGGCAAGTGTGACTGAGAAGGGCATTTCCACCAAAGCATGGGGGGTGGGGTTTGGTGTAAGCACGTTTGTGGCAGCCAGTGTCCATGCTGCGCTGCTTCCCATAGGTTACTCTGAATTTATGGGGGGAAGGAAATGGCACCAGCCAGCTCCTTTGTCCCCAGAGAGATGTCTCTATGAATGTTGCCTCTCAAGGACACACTCCAAGAGGAGCAAAAAATCTCCCCACCATGTGCCCCAGGCACTCTTCAGATCACTGTTTCCACACTATATGCCCCCAGGTTGTTTGCCTGCCTTCACTCCAGGAGCAGTACAGTGCCCTTCGAGCTCTATCCCAGACAAGCCCACTGTCCTTTAAAACTCCAGGCTTTAAGTTCCACTAGTTGCAAGGCCTCACAAAATTCAGCCCCTTTCATTTTCCAAGCCAATGGCTTTAGGGAAACATTCTCCTTCTGCATTACCATGTGCTCCTCTCTCTCTCACCCTTCACCACAGCTCCCTCCCTTCTGCAGCCACAATCCCTTTTTCCCCTAAACCACATTTCTGCACATCCGGCCTCCTTCAGTGTGGCCTCTTCTCTCCCTTTAGTTGTGGTATTTGTTCTGTCAGTCTTCAGGTAAATTTCTGGGGTATTTAGAATGATTCAAAGGTTACCTAGTTGTATTCATGGGGTGAGGCAAGCCAAGCATCCTACTCCATTACCATCTTCCTGCTCCTGATTTTTTTTTTTTTTTTTGAGGGAGGTGTACAATCTAGTGGCCATGGCATGGTAAGTAAGGTCCAGAGAAATATTAAGACGGAGAAAGATAAAAGTAGCTTAAACAGCAACTCTTAGAACAAGGGTGAAAAAGACACAGAAATCAGGGAGTTTGATCTCAATAATTAGCCAAATTAATTATAGAAGGGAAACACAGAGATGATAAATGGAAACTAAGATTACTCATCATTGACCTTGAGGGAGTGTGCCATTTTCATCTTTTTGTCTGAAGTTATTACAACCTAAATCTTCCATATATGCAGGGTGGCTGCTCTTCACAAGAGAGATGACAGACTTATAGGACATTGTTCTACATTCCCATGTAGAGCTCTTGGGTAGAATGAAGGAATTAAAACACAAGACTTTAGGCAACCCAGATTCTAATTAATGAAAAGACATGAAAATAAACAATTGTATCCCAGAACAGAAATGAAAGAGGGAATGCTCTGTGGGAGCTATATTTATTCAGAAAGTAAATCTGAACCTTCTTGAGAAGCAGGAGCATGGAACAGTTAGTCATGCTAACTAGTCATGAGGGAGAGTAAAGGAAATGAAAGAAACTACAACTGTACATTCATTATATGAACATTAATTCAGCACAGTTAGAAGACAGATTTGCAACAACATAGATGAACCTTGAAGGTATAATGCTAAGTGAAATAGAGAAAGACAAATACCATATGATTTCACTCATGTGGAATTTAAGAAAGAAAACAGATGAACATATGGGAAGCAGGGAGTGGGGAAGGAGGGAAACAAACCATAAGAGACTCTTAGAGAAGAAACTGAGGGTTGATGGAGGGGAAATGGGTGAAGGGATGGGTGAAATAGGTAAAGGGATTAGAATACACTTATCATGATGAGCACTGAGTCATGTATAGAATTGTTGAATCATTATATTGTACACCTGAAACTAATATAAAACTGTGTATTAATTATAGTTGTATTTAAAAAAATAAATTAGAGGGGTGCCTGGGTGGCTCAATCTTTAAGCATCTGCGTTCAGCTCGGATCATGATCCCAGGGTCCTGGGATCAAGCCCTGCGTTGGGCTCCCTGCTCAGCGGGAAGCCTGCTTCTCCCTCTCCCATGCCCCCTGCTTGTGTTCCTGCTCTTACTATCTCTCTGTCAAATAAATAAAATCTTTAAAAATAAGTAAATAAAGAAAAGAAGGAATATATGACGTGAAAAGGTCTTTATTTATTAAAGAAATTGAATTTGTACTTTAAAACATTCCTACAGAGAAAAATCCAGGGCCAGATGTCTTCACTGATTAATTCTACCTAATGTTTAGTGGGGGGGGGAAGTACCAATTCTACACAAACTTTTTTTGGAAAATATGAGAAAAAGAAATATTCCCCGATTTGTTTTATAAGGCCAGTATTACCCTGTTACCATAATCAGTTAAATACATAAAAATAATCTTATTATACAATAATCTTTAACACGAGGGATCATATTGAGAACATTCAAAAAGGAGAGTGAAAATGACCTTAAAGTATGTGAAGAGTTGTCATAGGAAAAGGGGTCAGATTGAACTGATTGGTAAGAGTAGAAGAAACAATCAACATTAGGTAAAGTTAGAAGTCCATTGGAATGGAATTCAGCCTAAAATATGGAGAAAATTTGGAAGATGGAGAGTTTTGAGTTTACCATCTCTGAGGGTAATCACACATAGGCTTTTGATAGTCCCTCATTGGGAATTATAGAAGTTTTTTAAAGAAATAAATGGGTTTTGGGAGATCTTTGGAACCTAAAACAATGTTAATTCATCCTTCTAAAATTATTTGTTAGAATCCGTGATGTAATTACATCACAATTAGCAAAATTCTGTAAAACTCCCTAGCTGGTAAATCTGTCTCAGTGTCCAGCTTTTTACTTCACTAAAGCCATTTTTTGTTATTTTGTGATTTATAAGTACTATAACTTGATATAGGAATTTTCCATTTGATAGGAATATGTGAACAAATTAACTTTTATCAACTAGCTATAGTCCTTAATACTTACAAAAAGTAAATTGGTATTTTTTTGGACAACAAAAGACTGTATATCAAAGATCAAGTTACAGTGGGGACAAATTTGCTAAAGTAAATATCTCTTCCTTATTTCTGTTTGTTTCACTATACCTATTACAGTGAAGAATGATCTACTAAACATTTTTCCCATGACTAACCAGAAGTTATTATGGAACCAACAGTATTAAAAAAATACATCTAACAAAAATCCCAAACAACCTAATTCAAAAATGGACAAAGGAATTGAATAGATATTTCACCAAAGAAGATGTACAGATAGCCAACAAGCACGTGAAAAGATGCTCAACATCCCTAGTCAATTAGGAAAATGCAAATAAAAAGCACAAGAATTAACAAATGCTGGAAAGGATGTGAAGAAATTGCAACCCTGTACACCGCTCTTAGGAATGTAAAATGGTGCATCTGCTATGGAAAACACTATGACACTTCCTTAAAAAGTTAAACATACAGGGGCGCCTTGGTGGCTCAGTCGGATAAGTGGCTGACTCTTCATTTCGGCTCAGGTCATGATCACAGGGTCCTGGGATGAGCCCTGCATAGGGCTCCCAGCTTAGCAGGGAGTCTGCTTCTCTCCCTCTCCCTTTGCCCCTTCCACCCCACTCTTCTCTCTCTCTCAAATAAATAAATAAGTCTTTTTTTAAAAAGTTAAACATAGATTACCATAGGATTAGCAATTCCACTTCTAGGTATATACCCACAATAGTTGAAAGTAGGAACTCAAACAGGTGTTTGCACACGAATGCTCATAACAGCATTATTCACAAAATCCAAAAGATAAAAACAACCCAAATGTCCCACAAATAAATGGAAGCCACATGTTGTGTTATCCATACAATGATTATTATTCAGCCTTAAAAAGGAATGAATTCTTATACATGCTACAACATGGTTGACTCTAGAAAGAATCATGCTAAGTGAAATAAGCCAGACACAAAAGGATTCCATTTTATATGAGACACATACAGTAGGAAAACTCATATTGACAGAAAGTAAAAGTGAAGCTGAAAGAAGGAAGGAATAGAGAATTACTGTTTAATGGGTGCAGAATTTTAGTTTAGGACCTTAAGATAGTTCTGGAAATGGATGGTGGTGATGGTTGTGAATGTGCTTAATGCTGCTTGAATTGATGAAATAATAAATGTAATGTTTCTTATATTTTACCACAAAAAAAAGCTTTTAAGAAAACAATAGGGAAGGATACAATTGGAAATAAAATTAAGTATTAAATGAAAGTGTTCACATATTTTAAAAATTCAGTTTACTAGAAAATAAAATGAACAATAACAAAAAAGAAAATGTATCTAGACTAGTGTTAGTTCATTCTTCTCCTCTTCCTCTCCTTTCAGGTTTGAAGCTCTGATTAATGACCTGGAAAATAAACAAAAAGAGCTGGGCATTGCCAGCTTTGGTGTTTCAATCACCACCATGGAAGAAGTCTTCATTAAGTGAGTAATAATGACTTAAAAAAAAAAACAAAAAAAAAACTTCCACCCCTAAAATGTCAATTGGAGAGCAAACCCCACCCTCTTTGTATTGGAATGAAGTAATCACAGTTATGGAGTTTTTTCAAATATGTTAATATTTTATGCTAATGCATTTCCATATATTCAGCTAAGAGTATGTAAAGATTTTAGGCGTGGGCCTTGATACATGTGTCTTTGTGGTAGATGGTTTAAGAGTTAATGAAGAAAAAGAAAGAATTAATATCTATGTTATCATAGGAAAAGTTCTAGTTCTAACTTGAAGTCTATACTAGAAATTACTTAAAAGTTTTAACCTAACCATGTTTTCATAATTTGTTTAATTGATGCATGGTTTGTTTTGTTTCTTGCACTGTAAAAAAATTCAAAATGAAAATGTCCAGGGAATTCAGGCTGTCCCTAAGGCAAAATAATCTGATTATCTTTCAAAAGATTTCACAAAATGTCCTTTTTCTGATAAGGTTATGACAGAACTAGATCTAAACTTCATTCTCTCAGACTCAGTGTTTAAATATTGTCAGTGTCTCAGAGTTGACTTGGTGTAATTTATTCACATGAATTAGGTTTGCAGAAGACTGATATATATAAATTAAAATGCCACTTAATTTATGATGAATAAATTGTAATAAGCATAATTTATAATAAGAAATTGCTTCTTGGCTATTCAATCAAATGTTCTTTTGTCTGTCTCTAGGCAAGCTACATAGGGAGCAAAATTATAATGAGAAACTTCCTTTGTGAATACAACTAGAACAAGCTCTGTAAGGGCAGAGACCAAATCTGTTTTGTTCACTGACTATACTTGGGGCCACAAACAGTGTCACATAATAGATACTCAAAAAAGTTCTCAGATGAATAAATGAACTATTTAATAAATGATACTATTTAAAGCCATTATCTGCACAATAGTTGCTTTACCTGCCACTGGGAATTATAATTGAAAACCTTAGGGCACCTGGGTGGCTCAGTCGTTAAGTGTCTGCCTTTGGCTCAGGTCATGATCCCAGGCTCCTAGAATCGAGTCCCACATCGGGCTCCCTCCTCGGGGGGAACCCTGTTTCTCCCTCTCCCACTCCCGCTGCTTGTGTTCCTGCTCTCACTATCTCTGTCTCTGTCAAATAAATAAATAAAATCTTTTAAAAAATAAAAAATAAAATAAAACCTTACACCAACACGATGGTATCTAGGTTGTCTTTCTATTCAGGGCCTCTACCCTTTTTTTCTTTCAAATCTTTATTTAAATTTTAGTTAGTTAACATACAGTGCAATATTGGTTTCTGGAATAGAATTCAGTGGTTCATCACTTACATACAACACCCAAGTGCTTATGACAAGTTCCCTCTTTAAAACCCATCAACCTGGGGCGCCTGCGTGGCTCAGTCATTAAGAGTCTACCTTTGGCTCAGGTCATGATCCCAGGGTCCTGGGATCGAGTCCTGCATCGGGCTCCCTGCTTGGTGGGGAGCCTGTTTCTCCCTCTCCCACTCCCCCTGCTTGTGTTCCCTCTCTTGCTGTGTCTTTCTCTGTCAAATAAATAAATAAAATCTTTTTTAAAAAAATAAAAAATAATAAAACCCATCACCCATCTAGCCCATCCCCCACTCACCTCCCTCTATCAGTTCCAGTTTGTTCTCTATCCTTAAGAATCTCTTATGGTTTGTTTCCCTCTCTTTTTCCTTTCCCCTCCCCCTCCCATATGTTCATCTGTTTTGTTTCTTAAATTCCACATATGAAGGAAATCATATGGTATTTGTCTTTCTCTGACTGACTGACTTTGCTTAGCACAATACACTCTAGCTCCATCCATGTTGTTGCAAATGGCAAGGTTTCATTCTTTTTGATGGCTGAATAATATCCCATTGTATATATATACATCTTCTTTATCCATTCATCAGCTGATGGACATTTGGGCTCTTTCCATAGTTTGGCTATTGTTGATGATGCTGCTATAAACATTGGGGTTCATGTACCCCTCTGAATCTGTATTTTTGTATCTTTTGGGTAAATACCTAGTAGCACAATAGCTGGATCATAGGGTAGTTCTATTTTTAACTTTTTAAGGAACATCCATACTGCTGTCCAGAGTGGCTGCACCAGTTTTCATTCCCACCTACAGAGCAAGAGAGTTCCCCTTTCTCCACATCCTCACCAACATCTCTTGTTTCCTGTGTTGTTAATTTTATCCATTCCAACAGGTGTGAGGTGGTATCTCATCATGGCTTTGATTTGTATTTTCCTGATGATGAGTGATGTTGAGCATTTTTTCATGTCAGCCATCTGGATGTCTTTTTTGGAAAAGTGTCTATTCATGTTTTCTGCCCATTTCTTAAATGGATTATTTGTTTTTTGGGTGGTGAGTTTGGTATGTTCTTTATATATTTTGGATACTAAACCTTTATCAGATATGTCATTTGCAAATATCTTCTCCCATTCTGTAGGCTGCCTATTAGTTTTGTTGATTGTTTCCTTTGCTGTAAAGAAGCTTTTTACCTTGATGAAGTCCCAGTAGTTCACTTTTGCTTTTGTTTCCATTTCTCAGCTACAGCCAAGGTCAAAGAGGTTGCTGCCTGTGTTCTCCTCTAGTATTTTGATGGTTTCCTATCTCACATTTAGGTCCTTCATCCATTTTGAACTTATTTTTGTGTGTGGTGTAAGAAAATGGTCCAGTTTACTTCTGCATATGGCTGTCCAGTTTTCCCATTACCATTTGTTGAAGAGACTGTCTTTTTTCCATTGGATGTTCTTTCCTACTTTGTCAAAGATTGGTTGGCCATATAGTTCTGGTCCATTTCTGGCTTTTCTATTCTGTTCCATTGGTCTGTGTCTTTGTTTTTGTGCCAATATCATACTGTGTTGATGACTACAGCTTTGTAATACAGCTTGAATTCTGGAATCATGATGCCTCCAGTTTTGTTTTTCTTTTTCCACAGTTGCTTTAGGTATTCAGGCTCTTTTCTGTTTCCATACAAATTTTAGGATTGTTTGTTCTAGTTCTGTGAGAAATGCTGGTGGTATTTTGATAGGGATTGCTTTAAATGTGTAGATTGCTTTGGGTAGTATAGATGTTTTAACAGTGTTTGTTCTTCCAGTCCATGAGTATGGAATGCTTTTCCAATTCTTTGTGTCCTCTTCAGTTTCTTTCATAAGTGTTCTATAGTTTTCAGAGTGCAGATCTTTTACTTCTTTGGTTAGGCTTATTCCTTGGTATCTTATTCATTTTGGTGCAATTGTAAACAGGATCGATTCCTTGATTTCTTTTTTGCTGCCTCATTATTGGTGTATAGAAATGCAAAAGATTTCCATATGTTGACTTTATATCCTGTGACTTTGCTGAATTCGTGTATTAGCTCTAGCAATTTTTTGGTGGAGTCTTTCAGGTTTTCTACATAAAGTATCATGCCATCTGCAAATGGTGAAAGTTTGACTTCTTCCTTGCCAATTTGCATGCCTTTTATTTCTTTTCCTTGTCTAATTGCTGAGGCTAAAACTTCCAGTAGTATGTTAAATAATAACGGTGAGAGTGGACCTCCTTGTCTTGTTCCTGACCATAGAGGAAAACGTCTCAATTTTTTCCCATTGAGGATGACATTAGCTGTGGGTCTTTCATATATGGCCTGTATGATGTTGAGGTACATTCTTTCTATCCCTACTTTGTTGACATTTTTTATCAAGAATGGATAATGTAAGGCGCCTGGGTGGCTCAGTCGTTAAGAGTCTGCCTTGGCTCAGGTCATGGTCCTGGGGTCCTGGGATTGAGTCCCGCATTGGGCTCCCTGCTCAGCAGGAAGCCTGCTTCTCCCTCCCCCACTCCCCGTGCTTGTGTTCCCTCTCTTACTATGTCTCTCTCTATCAAATAAATTAAATCTTTAAAAAAAAAAAAAAAAGAATGGATACTGTATTTTGTCAAATGCTTTTTCTGCATCTACTGAGAGGATCATTTGGTTCTTATCCTTTCTTTTATTATTGTGATGTATCAGGCTGATTGATTTGTGAATATTGAACCAGCCCTGCTGCAAACCTGATCTGTCTTCCTTTATAGGTCAAGGACTTTTTTTCCCTTGCTGCTTTCAGGATTCTTTCCTTGTCTGTATATTTGTGAATTTGACTATGATATGCCTTGGTGATGGCCATCTTTTGTTGAATTGAATGGGAGTTCTCTGTGCTTCTTGGATTTTGATGTCTGTGTCCTTCCCCAGATTAGGGAAGTTTTCAGCTATAATTTGCTCAAATTAACCTTCTGCCCCTTTTCCTCTCTTTTCATCTTCTGAGACACCTATGATATGAATGTTATTCCATTTTAATAAGTCACTAAGTTCCTTAAGTCTACCTTCATGATCCATTACCTTTGTTTCCCTCTTCTTTTCAGCTGCACTTTTTCATAATTTTATCTTTTAAATCACTGCTTCATTCCTCTGATTCATCCATCCTTGTTGTTATGGCATCCATTTGGGTTTGTATTTTTAATTTAGGCTTGACTAGCTTTTAGCTCTTTTATCTCTGGAGAAAGGGATTCTCTGGTGTCTTCTATGCTTTTTGAAAGTCTAGCTAATATCCTTATAACTGTTGTTTTAAATTCTATTTAAGACATCTTACTTATATCTGTATTGATTAATTCTCTAGCCATCATTTCTTCCTGGTCTTTCTTTAGGGGTGAATTGCTCCATCTTGTAATTTTGGAGGTCAGAAGAAAGAAAAGAAAAGAAAAATTTTTTAAATTAAAAGAATAAATGAAAGAAGCCAGGTATGTGTTGGTCTGCTTGTTTAGACAATCTTGAGAGAAAAAAGAAAGAAAAATTTAAAAATAAGAATACAATAAAATAAAATTTTAAAATTGCTTTTTCTGTATTCCCCCCCCAAAAAAAAACAGAAAACAAAAAAACCCAAAAGAAGCTAGATCCTGTTTACCACAAAACTGAAGCTTTGCTGCACTCTATGATCAATAGACTCGGTGCATGCAAAAGATT